TTTCTAAGACAGTTTGCTTTCCATGGAGGCGAAAGCATAAATCCTTGATATGACATGTTCTTTTACAATAAGAACACCATCGATCATCTCTCTTAGGTTTAGAAGATGCACCATCATAAAACTTTGTAAAAGAACTCCTTTGAGAAGAGGCCATACTGCACAAAAAACAGTCAACGAAAAAGGCTCTAAGAAGCCAAAAAATTCGGAAAAAAAAATACCAAACAATGTCCGATCTGAGAAAACAACACAGATCCAGAAAGAGAACAAGGAGACGAGAAGAATGGTGGTGGTCCGGTCCAGAAACACCGCCGGACACGCCTCCACGCGCCGGCGAAAGCAGCTGCGCGTGGGCTTCACTCGCGGTCAAAGAGGCGGCGCGTGAGAGCGCGTGGCAAGGCTTCTCCAGTTGAAATTTTTCCGGTGTGGTCGTCCGGTGAGCGCGCACCTGTCTGTGGGTGGTTGCGGATGAAAAGTCACCGTAAAGGGTTCTAAACGGTAAAGACAGAACTGGTTGAAGGCGGTCGGAGGTGTTTGAGTCGTTTGTGGCGGAGGAACGTTGCGTAGAACGATAGAACGAAAAAAAAGAAGGTCAACAGTGGTCCCCTTGGTCCAAAAGGTCCCCGGAAAAAAATTTCCGGTGGCGGCAAGAGGAAAAGAAATTACAGTTTTGTACAAAAAAGACAATAGGCGCGGAAGCAGAGCCCTCAGGATCGAGTGCTCTGATACCAACTTGAAAAAGGGTTATGAAATATTATTGATTTGTATTTGAATCTGTACATAGGGGTCTCTATTTATAGAGACTTCTTGACCTAATTTTGACCTAATGGGCTTGGCCCAATATACAAGTAACGGACTATATAAATACAAATAAATGACTACATAATTACTAATAAATGACTACATAATTACTATTTACAACAAAATTCATTCAAAATATTCTCTGACCAAATCGCTTGACACGTGCACGCTGCTGCGGCTATGTATTCAGCTGCGCATGATGATAGAGCAACTGTCTGTTGTTTCTTTGATGACCATGAAAATATTGCTGAGCCAATATGAAAAGCATATCCTGAAGTGCTTTTTCGATCACTACATCTCCACTTTAATCACTATCTGCATAGCCAATTAACCTTGAATCTTGGGAATGTGTATAGAATAATCCATGACTGATGGTTCCTTTGATATATCTAAAAATTCTCTTTGCTGTACTGAAATGATCCTGCTTTGGATTCTCCATATATCTGCTAATTAGACCAACTGCAAACATGATATCTGGTCGAGTGAAAGTCAAATACCTCAAGCTTCCGACCAGGCTTTTGAATAGTGTTGGGTTTACTAGTTCTCTATCTGAGTCAGCTTTCAACTTTGTTCCTGTTTCTATTGGTGTTGAAATAGGCTTGCAATCTTTCATTCTGAACCTACTCAGTATTTCTTCTGCATACTTCTTTTGTAGCATATAAATTCCTTTTTCTGTTTGTTTTACTTCAACTCCAAGAAAATAGGACATTTCTCCAATATCTGTCATTTCAAATTCTTTAGTCATAGCTTTCTTAAATTCAACAAACATACCTGGATTATTCCCTGTGAAGATTATATCATCCACATAAAGACACAAGATCATCATATCCCCATCTTCATTTTTCTTCGTGTACAAAGCATGTTCATACGGACTCTTCACAAATCCATTCTTATGAAAGTATTCATCTATCCTTGTGTTCCATGCTCTTGGAGCTTGCTTCAATCCATATAGCGCCTTTTTCAGCCGATAAACTTTATCTTCTTCTCCTTTTTTAACATAACCTGGTGGTTGCTCAATATAGACTTCTTCTTCTAGGTAACCATTGAGGAAGGCTGATTTCACATCCATCTGGTATATCTTCCATTGCTTTTGTGCTGCAACTGCTGTAAGATGTCTGATGGTATCAATCCTTGCAACTGGTGCAAACACCTCATCATAATCTATTCCATATTTCTGCTTGTAGCCTTTAGCTACCAATCTTGCCTTGTATTTCTCCACTTTTCCCTCTTGATTAGTCTTTGTCTTGTACACCCACTTTACTCCGATGGGCTTATGTTTCTTAGGCGTAGTTGTAAGCTCCCACGTGTCATTTCTTTTGATTGCAGCAATTTCATAATTCATGGCTTTCTTCCACTTTTCATCTTCTACAGCTTCCTCATATGTCACTGGATCACATTCAGCTATTAAACAAAATAATGAGTAATCAAGGGTAGTTTGTACCGGATCTGTAGCACCATAGATATCACTTAAGCTTCTCATCTTTGCTGCTGCTCCCCCTGAATTGTTGCTGCTGCTACTGGCTTGATTTACATCAAGGGATAACTTGCTTTGCAAAGCTTGCTCCAATTTGCTAGAACTTTCATTAAGATTCATTCTTTGCTCGTGAGCTTGAAGAGAACCCACAAGCTCGTCAATAGAAATAACTGACAAGTCTTTGGCTTCTTCAATGGCAGTGACTATATAATCAAACTTTCTTGTTAGTGACCGTAGAATTTTCTCCATTACTCTGACATCATCTAAAGTCTCTCCATTTCTTTTCATCTCTTTCGCCACCTTTTGCATTCGTGAGGAATAATCTGTAACTGGCTCTGCATTCTGCATTTTTAAGTTTTCAAACTCAGCTCTTAGGGATTGGAGTCGAACCTTTTTAGTTTTGTCAACTCCCTGCCAACACTTCTGTAAAATCTCCCATGCTTCCTTGGATGATTTTGCATCTGATATTTTCTCAAAGGTTGATTCATCAACACCTTGAAAAATTAAGAAAAGAGCTTTTTTGTCCTTCTTACGTGAATCTTTAAGCATATTTCTTTGAGCATCTGATAAAACTGCTTCTGCAGTTGCATTGGCGGGCTCTATGTATCCATCCTCAACAAGGTCCCATATATCATGGGAACCTAGCAACATCTTCATCTGAATGCTCCAATTCCCATAATTACTCTTTGACAATTTTGGAATCTGTTGTTGCATCATTTCCGCCATCTTTGATCGAACGTGGCTTTGATACCACTTGTTGGAAATTTAGAGAAAATAAAAGAATAATAGATGAAGAAATCTCTTTGTATTTGAATTTTGGATAAAGGAAAAATACAACACACGCACGATCACTCTGTTTCTTTTCCTTAGTGCTTCAGCACTTTCTCTCTTTCTATCTTCCTTCTCTCTTTTTTCTTCCTAATACATATTGTTGATTACATTGAAGTATATATATATATATATACTTACTTAACCGATTTAAATGCCGCCTTGCCTTAAGTTACAATTGCCGATTTTGTCTTTTTCAACAAAAACATAATTTTTTAATATTAAAACTACAGCTACAATTTATAAGCACCGACTTCATGTTTGGCTCAAAGCTTCAGTCACTATTTTTTGGCGGTGCAAAGATCAACTTGATATTATCAAATGACAGCCACATATGGTGCGGTCTTCTAGCGGTGGAAAGTTACAAAGTTAAATTTCATTTCTAACACTCCCCCTCAAATTTGACTTTGCATACCAATCATATGTTTGAGTTTGTTGAACACATCGGTTTTCAATGGCTTCGTAAAAATATCTGCCAATTGTTCTTCAGTTCTGCAGTATACTAATTTCACAACTTTGTTTTTAACTTGCTCCCGAATAAAATGATATTTCGTGTCAATATGCTTGCTTCGGCTGTGGGAGACTGGATTCTTTGCAAGTGATATAGCAGACTTGTTATCTACGTATATAGTAATTGGACCTTCTTGCTCATAATGAAATTCATTCAAAATATTCTCTAACCAAATCGCTTGACACGTGCACGCTGCTGCGGCTATGTATTCAGCTTCGCATGATGATAGAGCAACTGTCTGTTGTTTCTTTGATGACCATGAAAATATTGCTGAGCCAATATGAAAAGCATATCCTGAAGTGCTTTTTCGATCATCTACATCTCCACTATAATCACTATCTGCATAGCCAATTAACCTTGAATCTTGGGAATGTGTATAGAATAATCCATGACTGATGGTTCCTTTGATATATCTTAAAATTCTCTTTGCTGCACTGAAATGATCCTGCTTTGGATTCTCCATATATCTGCTAATTAGACCAACTGCAAACATGATATCTGATCGAGTGAAAGTCAAATACCTCAAGCTTCCGACCAGGCTTTTGAATAGTGTTGGGTTTACTAGTTCTCTATCTGAGTCAGCTTTCAACTTTGTTCCTGTTTCTATTGGTGTTGAAATAGGCTTGCAATCTTTCATTCTGAACCTACTCAGTATTTCTTCTGCATACTTCTTTTGTAGCATATAAATTCCTTTTTCTGTTTGTTTTACTTCAACTCCAAGAAAATAGGACATTTCTCCAATATCTGTCATTTCAAATTCTTTAGTCATAGCTTTCTTAAATTCAACAAACATACCTGGATTATTCCCTGTGAAGATTATATCATCCACATAAAGACACACGATCATCATATCCCCATCTTCATTTTTCTTCGTGTACAAAGCATGTTCATACGGACTCTTCACAAATCCATTCTTATGAAAGTATTCATCTATCCTTGTGTTCCATGCTCTTGGAGCTTGCTTCAATCCATATAGCGCCTTTTTCAGCCGATAAACTTTATCTTCTTCTCCTTTTTTAACATAACCTGGTGGTTGCTCAATATAGACTTGTTCTTCTAGGTAACCATTGAGGAAGGCTGATTTCACATCTATCTGGTATATCTTCCATTGCTTTTGTGCTGCAACTGCTGTAAGATGTCTGATGGTATCAATCCTTGCAACTGGTGCAAACACCTCATCATAATCTATTCCATATTTCTGCTTGTAGCCTTTAGCTACCAATCTTGCCTTGTATTTCTCCACCTTTCCCTCTTGATTAGTCTTTGTCTTGTACACCCACTTTACTCCGATGGGCTTATGTTTCTTAGGCGTAGTTGTAAGCTCCCACGTGTCATTTCTTTTGATTGCATCAATTTCATAATTCATGGCTTTCTTCCACTTTTCATCTTCTACAGCTTCCTCATATGTCACTGGATCACATTCAGCTATTAAACAAAATAATGAGTAATCAAGGGTAGTTTGTACCGGATCTGTAGCACCATAGATATCACTTAAGCTTCTCATCTTTGCTGCTGCTCCCCCTGAATTGTTGTTGCTGCTACTGGCTTGATTTACATCAAGGGATAACTTGCTTTGCAAAGCTTGCTCCAATTTGCTAGAACTTTCATTAAGATTCATTCTTTGCTCGTGAGCTTGAAGAGAACCCACAAGCTCGTCAATAGAAATAACTGACAAGTCTTTGGCTTCTTCAATGGCAGTGACTATATAATCAAACTTTCTTGTTAGTGACCGTAGAATTTTCTCCATTACTCTGACATCATCTAAAGTCTCCCCATTTCTTTTCATCTCTTTCGCCACCTTTTGCACTCGTGAGGAATAATCTGTAACTGGCTCTGCATTCTGCATTTTTAAGTTTTCAAACTCAGCTCTTAGGGATTGGAGTCGTACCTTTTTAGTTTTGTCAACTCCCTGCCAACACTTCTGTAAAATCTCCCATGCTTCCTTGGATGATTTTGCATCTGATATTTTCTCAAAGGTTGATTCATCAACACCTTCAAAAATTAAGAAAAGAGCTTTTTTGTCCTTCTTACGTGAATCTTTAAGCATATTTCTTTGAGCATCTGATAAAACTGCTTCTGCAGCTGCATTGGCGGGCTCTATGTATCCATCCTCAACAAGGTCCCATATATCTTGGGAACTTAGCAACATCTTCATCTGAATGCTCCAATTCCCATAATTACTCTTTGACAATTTTGGAATCTGTGGTTGCATCATTTCCGCCATCTTTGATCGAACGTGGCTTTGATACCACTTGTTGGAAATTTAGAGAAAATAAAAGAATAATAGATGAAGAAATCTCTTTGTATTTGAATTTTGGATAAAGGAAAAATACAACACACACACGATCACTCTGTTTCTTTTCCTTAGTGCTTCAGCACTTTCTCTCTTTCTATCTTCCTTCTCTCTTTTTTCTTCCTAATACATATTGTTGATTACATTGAAGTATATATATATATACTTACTTAACCGATTTAAATGCCGCCTTGCCTTAAGTTACAATTGCCGATTTTGTCTTTTTCAACAAAAACATAATTTTTTAATATTAAAACTACAGCTACAATTTATAAGCACCGACTTCATGTTTGGCTCAAAGCTTCAGTCACTGTTTTTTGGCGGTGCAAAGATCAACTTGATATTATCAAATGACAGCCACATATGGTGCGGTCTTCTAGCGGTGGAAAGTTACAAAGTTAAATTTGATTTCTAACACTCCCCCTCAAATTTGACTTTGCATACCAATCATATGTTTGAGTTTGTTGAACACATCGGTTTTCAATGGCTTCGTAAAAATATCTGCCAATTGTTCTTCAGTTCTGCAGTATACTAATTTCACAACTTTGTTTTTAACTTGCTCCCGAATAAAATGATATTTCGTGTCAATATGCTTGCTTCGGCTGTGGGAGACTGGATTCTTTGCAAGTGATATAGCAGACTTGTTATCTACGTATATAGTAATTGGACCTTCTTGCTCATAATGAGATTCATTCAAAATATTCTCTAACCAAATCGCTTGACACGTGCATGCTGCTGCGGCTATGTATTCACCTTCGCATTATGATAGAGCAACTGTCTGTTGTTTCTTTGATGACCATGAAAATATTGCTGAGCCAATATGAAAAGCATATCCTGAAGTGCTTTTTCGATCATCTACATCTCCACTATAATCACTATCTGCATAGCCAATTAACCTTGAATCTTGGGAATGTGTATAGAATAATCCATGACTGATGGTTCCTTTGATATATCTTAAAATTCTCTTTGCTGCACTGAAATGATCCTGCTTTGGATTCACCATATATCTGCTAATTAGACCAACTGCAAACATGATATCTGGTCGAGTGAAAGTCAAATACCTCAAGCTTCCGACCAGGCTTTTGAATAGTGTTGGGTTTACTAGTTCTCTATCTGAGTCAGCTTTCAACTTTGTTCCTGTTTCTATTGGTGTTGAAATAGGCTTGCAATCTTTCATTCTGAACCTACTCAGTATTTCTTCTGCATACTTCTTTTGTAGCATATAAATTCCTTTTTCTGTTTGTTTTACTTCAACTCCAAGAAAATAGGACATTTCTCCAATATCTGTCATTTCAAATTCTTTAGTCATAGCTTTCTTAAATTCAACAAACATACCTGGATTATTCCCTGTGAAGATTATATCATCCACATAAAGACACACGATCATCATATCCCCATCTTCATTTTTCTTCGTGTACAAAGCATGTTCATACGGACTCTTCACAAATCCATTCTTATGATAGTATTCATCTATCCTTGTGTTCCATGCTCTTGGAGCTTGCTTCAATCCATATAGCGCCTTTTTCAGCCGATAAACTTTATCTTCTTCTCCTTTTTTAACATAACATGGTGGTTGCTCAATATAGACTTCTTCTTCTAGGTAACCATTGAGGAAGGCTGATTTCACATCCATCTGGTATATCTTCCATTGCTTTTGTGCTGCAACTGCTGTAAGATGTCTGATGGTATCAATCCTTGCAACTGGTGCAAACACCTCATCATAATCTATTCCATATTTCTGCTTGTAGCCTTTAGCTACCAATCTTGCCTTGTATTTCTCCATTTTTTCCTCTTGATTAGTCTTTGTCTTGTACACCCACTTTACTCCGATGGGCTTATGTTTCTTAGGCGTAGTTGTAAGCTCCACGTGTCATTTCTTTTGATTGCAGCAATTTCATCATTCATGGCTTTCTTCCACTTTTCATCTTCTACAGCTTCCTCATATGTCACTGGATCACATTCAGCTATTAAACAAAATAATGAGTAATCAAGGGTAGTTTGTACCGGATCTGTAGCACCATAGATATCACTTAAGCTTCTCATCTTAGCTGCTGCTCCCCCTGAATTGTTGCTACTGGCTTGATTTACATCAAGGGATAACTTGCTTTGCAAAGCTTGCTCCAATTTGCTAGAACCTTTATTAAGATTCATTCTTTGCTCGTGAGCTTGAAGAGAACCCACAAGCTCGTCAATAGAAATAACTGACAAGTCTTTGGCTTCTTCAATGACAGTGACTATATAATCAAACTTTCTTGTTAGTGACCGTAGAATTTTCTCCATTACTCTGACATCATCTAAAGTCTCTCCATTTCTTTTCATCTCTTTCGCCACCTTTTGCACTCGTGAGGAATAATCTATAACCGGCTCTGCATTCTGCAGGTACTACATTTTGCATGGCTTTTCAAAACGTATGGCTACTCCATGGCGCTGATCATATGCAGGTACTACATTTTGCGTCATGAAAACGTATGGCTTCCTAATTTAAATTTTACGCGAACGGTGATAACAAGTATACCGTACCTTGTGACCGCGCTCTAAAACTTTCGTGAGATAGCAACCGCAAAGATAACAAACAATGATATTATTATGTGTGCCTCAAGCACGATGATATGTATCTTGCTCCTTGAATAAAAAGTCCTTAGTAGGAATTGCACGAAGAACCTCTCATCAAATTTTGGCAGCATCGCGTGATCGTGCTTCAAGGAGGTTTGGTAGTATTATTGCCAAATTTGTTCCTCGCATTGTGCTGACTATCGTGACATAGACCTTTCTCACAGCGCGCAAAACAAGACCAATACAATATAGCTTCTGAAGGGTCTAGCGAATCTTAAAAGATTTAAATGGATAGAGGGAATGTTGTATCATTAGCTGAGTCTATTTCCACAGCAGTAGGAATTTCCAATAGCTCTCTACTGTTTTAATCTAATTATTTCTTTATAAGACCGTCAGACATGGTCGTGGAGTTGTCTTCAGTGCCATGTCACAAGCTAACGAATATGGAGGTGTGGACTTGTCTTTATGTAAGGCTCAACGCCATGCCACTAGCTTATATAATATCATCGCGCATAGATATGGGAAAGGAAAAAACCATTGTGAATCAAAGCTGGTGCTTCTATGTCGCGCTTTTGGAAGGCCACATACGTGGTATAATTGTAATAGGACCTAGACATCGCGCTATGACGAGCATTGAATCAAAATCCTATGGTTCTACCTTCGTTTATGGTTATCGCGGAATAATTGTAACAGGACTATGAGCATCGCGTTTTATGGTTATCGCGGAATTAAAAATTCTTTGGGTATGCAGGATAAAATCCTGGATCAACTTTTCTTTTATTAGTAGTAGAAATGATACTTTTCTAAATAGTAAAAGGTAGCTTTATGCTTTTTGGTTCTAAAAGCATCACGCAGTGGCTATACGGCCAAGTGACGGTAGCTATGAGTAATGGTGCAAATTTCTAGATAGCTATACATCGCGCTGAGCATCACGCACATATCGGTTAATAACTTCTGATCCTTAAAAATTTAAAACTCATACAGATGGTGCGTACCTTTTGGGGTGGGAATTGAAGTTTACCTCTCCCATAGACGGCGCCAATGATCGGAACAAGTTTTTACAATTAGGCTGATCATGTAATCTTCCTCTACACATCCTGGATCAGAGCATCTTGCAGTTGGGCCGCTTTATCCCATGAGTTTCTATGGAACGCGATAGGGGGTGTACCTGCAAGACACTCTGACGCTCAAGTCAGTTATAGTTCAAGCAGGTTTTATTATGTAGAAGAAGATGATGTACCTTAGTGTTGATACATGTATTTATAGTGGAGAGATGAGCAGCTTGAGAGATGTTACTTAGTGATGAGGTTTGCTTTGTCTTGGAGACAAAGTAATAGAGCTGCCATGTTTAATGTTAAGGAGCTTGATGAGATAAGGTCATTAATATTGTGCAGCTTGATGGCTGTCATGAGCTTGCTGCTATAGAGGTGTCTTTTGCTGTCATAAATATTGTGCAGCTTGGCAAGATAGACTTGCAGTCTTCTTTGACTATGAACTTTCTTAGTAGTAAAGACTTTTAATTTGGGCCTTGTATTTGTATAGTATTTGTCCAGATCATTTAGCTCATTACATAAATTAGAGTAATAAATAATTTAATAAGAATGTATGATTTAATAATAATTTTCTAAATCAGACTCGGTTAAACATGATCTTAGAAGCTAAAATAATTAGAATTTATTTTTCTTCTAATAATTTCGCTCTGCTTATAGGTAAAAACAAGTACCGTGAATGCCTACTTCAGTACTTTGTATAGACTATAGTTATGACTTGACCACAATATTATATAGTATTTTTTTTAAGGAATGCAAGCACGGTCAACGAGAGGGTGTATAATCAATATTTATTTTCTAGAAGGAAACAAAATTGCCACAATTGCTTTCAAAATTTGAAAAAAATCGAGCTTAACAAGCCGGTGAAACAAAAAATAATTAAACTGGACACAATTATTAGCCTAAAAACTTTGTACTATAATCTCGTACTTTACCCAATGGGTATAGCTGAGTCTTACCCTTATATTTTTATAAAGAGACTATTTCTTAAATTTGTATCAATAACCTCTCGGTTAGATAAGAGCCGTTTTACCAATGCTTCAGGCTTGTAAAATGGGCAGACAAAGTAGTAATTAAAAATTCAATTCTAAAATCCAACTTTGTAGCATGGTTGAATAATGCAAAACTGTTAAACTACGCTGTTGTCCAAAAATTCACAACCATCCTCAAACGATAATTTACCTCCATACACTTAAGCATCAAAGATGATAGCAACTACGAAATCAAGCATAAGGAGAGTATTCCTATAAGCTAATTTAATCACTTCATAGAGATGAGGCTGATGAGCTATTTGAAAAAAAAGAAAAACAGAAAATTAAGCGTGATAATAAGTGGATGAGTTCAAATGCTTATTCAGATGAAAATTGTTCAGTAAAGCATTTAATACACGAAAAGGAAATGACATTTTCCTTATTACCAAGGAAACATTCAAAATATTAATAGACATAAGGTAAACACTAATCAAACACTCATGTTCATTGAAATTGGACTAGACAACTTCAATGAAACATTATTGAAACAGCTATTCCAAACCAGCCATATTTTATGACATAACATGACAGACATTTGTGATTCTAAGGGACCAGGGTAGGGCTTTTGCATTCTTAAAGACTAATGTGTCTGTTAGAATCTATTGATAGAATATGTAATATGTTAAGAGTACTATAGATGATTACGGTAGGATATCATCTATATACCACAGAATCAGTTAGGATTGTGTATATCAGGGATTGACTATAATTCCCACACTAATATATATGCCGTGGGGTCTTTTACGGATGCAAACCCACCCAATCAGATTTCCTCTTTCAAATTCAAGTTAGTATTACTGTATTAGAGCGGGTTTCAACCAGTCTCTCTAGACCATAGACCCACTGCATCCGTTGCCCACACCAACAAAATCTCCAAAATACATGCCCATAGCAGTGGTCCTTTTCTACCTCGCCTCGTTCCAGCAAGCATTGGCGTTCAAGTGTTGCCAACCATTAAATTCCTGTCCTACAAATTCGGGTGTTTACTCCAACATGTATCATGAATTGTAAGATTCATGGTCAATAATTAGAAATTGGAAAAATATATTTTTGATATACAGAACTGAAAAAAATATGAAAGCAAATAAAATGATTCCCTTATTTCCCTTTTAATGTAAATTAACTGTACGAGTTTCTCAATGATCTCTCTCTCAACATGGTATCTAAAACCTAGCAACAGAAATCCTATATTTTTTCATCTGCCTCGTTACTCTCTACTTAAGGGCTGTCCCTCTCATATCTACATATCTGAGGTGCATATCACGTTCCATTCACCCCACTGCCAAAGCTAGACCTACATACCACGAGACGCTTGCAGCTGCCAGAGAGCCACACAAACCCACATCCCGAATGCTGTTCAATTGCATATGTTCATCCGGGCAGCGCTTAATGGCACAAGCCTGATTACGGCTGATGTCTTCACAAAACTCTCTGACAATGAGATTCCAGCCACCGCCACCACGGGTCGTCAGTCATCACCCCCTACAGTAGCTGTTATGCACCCTATCCAAGATCACTATGGCTGGAATGGCTGGAATCGCTGCAACATTGAGATTCCTGCAATTTTGGCAATTCAGTATGCGATTCTGGCAACAAAAGAAACTCCAAGCGATTTCTATTGATTGTCTAAGGACTTGCATGAATCACGTCAATAGAAAGGGGAAAAAAAATAGAGCTCTTTTGCAAAATGTAATTATGGTAATAAGCATTTTCCGTCAGTAAAAGGATTTAGAATAATTTGGAAAAAAACTGTTTCAAGAGAGTAGCCATAGCACCGACCTTAAAACTAAAAAAACTTACTGTTTAAGTCTGCAAATTCACATTTTTCCAAGTGTTAGTATTTGCCACTCTTCCGAGTTTAACTAACAGCCTTTATCTTTATATTTCAATTTTCTTCATCAATCCAAGCTTAAGAAAATAAAATGTGGGTCCACAGACACGTTAGCCACTAAAGCTTACTGGTCAACAAGCCTATCTAGCCTGTGGGGATTGGAAGATGGGATCGGTATACTGAGGCAGGCCCAGGTCCAACCAGTAGTGCCAAATTTTCCCCTTGAGCCCTCTCCCTGCCATTCGGGGCAAGTGTACTTTTCACAAAATGAAATAAAAAAAAAAATAGAAAGATACTTGTTTATCTAACTATGTCATATGTCCCATACACCGTTCTAAAATTCAAGGAATTTTCTGAAAACTAATCAATTATATATGCATGATGTTAAAAAGGAGAAATATAATGAGGTGTGGAAATCATCACCTAAGTAACAAAGTAAAAGCAAGAAAGTCCACATAATATAGCTACAACAATAATAACCAATATTCCACTTGGTATCAAACATAAAGTTGCACAAAAATAATAATAATAAGAAAACTACTAGAACATTCCGAGTGTACAATAGTAACCAAGTGAAAACAACTCGTACAAGAAACCTAGAGAAATAGAGTACCTGAGATATTAATTCACATTAGCAAACACTGAATTCAGCGTCTTTTACTAGCGGATTTATTATGCAACTCTAGCAAGCCTTGAACAGATTCCAAAGACCATGTTTCCTCATTTTGGGCATATACCTTTTGATTTAGAGAGTCTATTATTATGCTGACATTACCAAACCCATAGATTTGATGACCGTTGTGCATTCTACCAGGTTTAAGTTTGAATAGTAAACCATGTTGCAGGGCATGGGCCTCGATGGCTTCTTTCAGGCTCAATTCACGCACACCAGCCACACCATCTGCGTTGACAGCACCACCCAAGCTTGCAGCAGCTTGCTGTTGAGCATAGGCTGCTGCTTTCTGCTGAGCCTCAAATTGCCTTTGCTCAAGTACCCTAAGATAGCTGATATTCTCTTTTAAACCAGGTTGGACCACCTCCATACCTTCAACAGCTTGGATCATCATATCAAGACCACGATTAAGCTGGTATCGAATACTCTCATTTGCCAAAAGTTCTTTCGGAATAAGTTCTTTCCAGCCCAAATACCATTTTGTAACTTCTTCGATGTTAGGATTAGAGCACAACCAATGATACAAAACCTGAAGCCATTTAGCAAAGAAGAATTTCTCCATCATATCAACCATCAGATGAAATGGAATAGCAGAAGCCCAGTTCATTACCCAATAAAATTGGTCAAGATTCTGACTTGCCGGGTTGACGTGGAACTCTTGCAAGACAAGCTGCAACTTGGGCACAATAAAACGAAGCATAAGTTGTTCCCAACTAGCAGCATCAAATACCATCTTCCAAGGAGACAATATAGCATAAGCAGAGCCATCACTTGGGTGCCAGGCACCAAGAACAGTACTCAATTTAAAACGAATCACCTGGTATATACCCTCCAACTTGTTCCCTAGCAGAGGTAGCCATGGATGCACCCAAGTGTGGATAGGAATGGTCTCACGATGTGGTTCCCAAGTATCTACAGCACTTGATAGTTTTGGCATGACCACATTGTCCAATATGGTGGCAAGGAGTGAAGAAGGAAGCAACTTTTCCCACGACTCCAGAAACCGTAACATTGGCTCCGGATCCCGAGCCTGCCAGGTATTGATGCCAGATATTCTGACAGCTGGTAACACAACCTCAGAAACCAACTGAGTGTAAGGTGATGATACATCCCATATATCGAGACATTCTTCTACTTGAAGCAAAGTTCTCCACTGTGAGACCAACTCCAACCCATGAGATGGATTTCGAAGAGGATCCCATCCTTGGAACACTCTGATAAACAAAGGCAGAGCATATGAGCAAGCAACGCATGACAAGTTACACAACTTGTAGTTATCAGCAAATCTTTTATGCAAGTCCCTAAAGCATTGAGCAAGGGAATCCAACGTTAATGTTCCTAAAGTATTCTCTTCTCCGACTTGGTCCAACACACTCATTATTTCCTCAAAATTATCCAGCTGCTTCTTTTGAAATGCTGCCTCAGTTTCGAACTTCTCTTTTTCCTTTTTCAAGCTAAGTGCAGTCTCCCTCTCTCTCCTCAAATCTCTATCAATCTCTTGGATGTCAGCCTCAGCCAACCGAACTATTAACCCAACATTATGCTGAAGTTCCGGCATCGGGACATCATTCTCCTTTGCTTTCTCCTCAGCATTCAAATCAGACAAATTTGTAATTACTCGAACCTGCGGCCCTCTCATATCATAAACCTTCTGAACAACCTCCAAATCCTGTTCTTCCTTGCTTGCCAACAACTCCTCAGCAGTTATATACTCTTCCTCGTCTTTCTTCTTCTTCGACCTCAATTGCTTTGACCACAACCTTTCTTTTGTTCTGCCAACCCTAGGTTGGGTAACTCCCGGCGCAATCTTCTTATCCAGCTGCAAAGCCGCCGGCAACGGTGTAGTAGTAGTCTCCTTGGAGTCATTAAACCCAATACCCGAATTCTTAGCCCTCAGTTTCGCCTCAATAGGAGCCAAAATACCTTGCTCATTCTTCCCAAGACCACCTCCTTTATAACCCATCTTCTCCAACAGCTTCATTCCTATCCCCTTCGTATGCTTCTCAAACTTGCCAACATCAACAGATCCATCATCACCTACACTCTGGCGCTGCCCTCTCTTCTTCTCCAATCTTTCCCTCTCCTTCTCCCTCTCCCTTCTCATCGCCCCCTCCTTAATCTTCTTCCCAAACGCCGTAGGCAGAAAGCTATTCTCACCATTCTCATCCGAGTCATCAATTCTCTCCGTTCCATTCGCACCATAACTCGAATTATTAAACCCCAAACCGGACCCGGAAGTGCTAGCAAACCCCATACCAAGACCTAAACCGGGCCTATCTTCACCACCATGACTCTCCTCCTTCTCATCCTGTTCCTTAGAAGAATTCTTATCAACAACATCCTCATTAGGCATAAAAGTGCCTGTAGAGACAAAATTCACAGGCTTGGTGAGATCCGGCTTCTTCGATAAATCACGATCCTTCCGTCGCTTTCTGCTAGAATAATCATCGTCGTCATCGGAATCTGCGAAAACTCCATAAAGAACATCATCTTTGGTTTGAGTTCGTTTTTCTTTGCGCTTTTTATAGTAAAACTCGCCACCAATCCATTGCGCGCCTTCGAAATCATTCTCCGTTCCAAATCTCTCCATCTCTTGATCCTCATCCATCTTCTTGGGCAGCAGATAAAATAAAACCTAAAAAAATTAGAGAGAGAGAGAGAGTGAGTGAATTCACAAACCTTGAAGGCCTCACCAAAATTACACACATTCACAACACAAAGAACTCACGCTCATGAAAAACACACATTTCTTTGTGGAAAAAAGAAAAAAGCGAAATTATATTGAACGCAAAATCTGAAAACGGTGGAAATAAAAAAATTGGGGAGAATAAACGAAAAAAAAAAGAAAGAAAGAAAAACGACAAGAAATTGATAAAACGCAAGTGGAAGGTGAAAATACCTAAAGGTATTGAGGATGTGAATCGATAACAGTTTTGTTTATTAGCCTTCAGTTCCCACTACACCGTCACGAGCACAAAAATACAGTGCTGCAAAAAAAAAAAAAAAAATTAAGAAACCGACTAACTCAAAATGTGGTTACTCGAGCAATTAACGTTTATTTTCTAATTGTATATACAATGTTATTGTTATATTATTTGTGATGTTATATTATTTTCTTGTATTCAAAAAAATAAAATTAAAAATTGTGATGTTCATTTTATATATAATAAATAGTAATCGAAAACGGAAATCGGTGAACGATCTCATCCTTAAGAATAAGGAAGGGATCACTAACAAAATTGAGAATGAGTTGAGGTTACCTTTTCACTCGCGCGAGTTTGATATCGTGCTTCCTAGGTTTCGTTCTGTTTTCTACTTGGGACGCAGAAAACACAAAACAACGAACGAACGGTAATAGGGCTGAAGAGGAAAACGACGTTGCTTTTACGCCTCACTTTCGTTATAAACCCCATATATCTGCAGAGATAGGATCATTTGACATCGGTGTCAAATTTAAAATTTGACACCTCGTCTGAAAGTCATTAGATAAAAAAAGATCAATGGTGTCACATGCTTACAAATTAGAGTCGTTGAACTTTTTTGATTTGACGGCTCTCAGATGAGGTATCAAATATCAAATTGAACACTGATGTTAAAGTATCATACCTCATATCTATATAGGATTTCGATTTTCCGTAGATATATTTTGTACGGAGCTTGTATTGGATTGAGATTTCAAAAGATTTTAATGGATTATTTTCGGACAAAAAAATTCATTGGTATTCGATTAGGATTTTAATGGATTGAAAGAAAGTCACATGATATTCGATTAGGATTTTAAAAGATTATTTTAGAGTTCGTCCAATTCCGTTAGTATTCAATCAAGATTTTAAACAATGAAAAAACAATATTGTGGTATTCAAAAATCTAAAGATTTTAATGGATTTTCGATTAATGTGGACTTCTTGAGACTTTTTAGTAAGAAATATGAATAGGATGCCTCTCTCATAATCTCACCCTAACCTCTAGGATTTTTTGAGATTTTTCTATTAAAGTGTTTTCTTCTTCATTTGGCAGATTCACATGCTCGAAATTCGGTTTCGTTATAAGAGTTTCGTCAAAACTTAAAAATAACATATTTTTGAGCGATTTTCATCACAAAACAACCCAAAAACAACAAACCAACGAAACTTTAATATAATCTATCTCAAAAATAGCATATTTTTTAGCCATTTTTGAGAAATTTTGGAAGTTTAAAGGTTATTTTTCAAGCTATGGGTCGCGATTTTTCTTGACACAAAAAGATGTGATTTTTGTATTAAAAACAACATAAAATAGTGGAAAAATAACATAAAACCCTCAAACTAATTTTCATTTTACATGAATAAAACAATATCAATCTTAAAGAAAGATTTAAACTTTCATAATATGATCACTATGTTTCGTAACAATACATTCATTAACGAAATTCATTCACTGTAGAAAAGGATTTCAAACAATTTTTGCGTCAATAGATAACTAAAAAATTGTTTTTTAAAAACCCCAAAGCATTTTAAGATTTCAATGTATCGATTGAACAAAAATTGAGAAGTTTTCTAAACTTTCATGTAATAAAACCCAAAAATTCATATTCGATTTTTTTTTTTAGAATATTCAATGAAAATATGCATATGATATATGGTTAGAAAACTCTCATCACATAGAACAAAAATCCCAAAGTTTTCAAGCTTAATTGCATATGATATATGGTTATGTCATATGAAGGAATCCTAACCATACAAAAGAGAATCAACGGTGATGATTTTGTAACTACCTATCCCCATATTTTTTCTCTCTTTCTTTATCATCATTGATCCACCTTTATATGGTTATGATTTTCCAACATGATATGGTCATGTTAATTAATGTTGGAATCTAAGTTGATAATCCGTTGGTTATGAATAAGAAGGGCAAAAAAATTAAAATAATGCATTTAAATTAAATAATTACGCATTTAATGCTGTTTTGTAAAAAATTGCACATCTACTGTACAATGTGACGCCACTTTTGGGCGTCACATGTGACGCCCAAAAGTGGCTTCACATGTGTGCTCTATATATTTCCCCACCCCCTCCATTCAATTCATACCTCTTCTCTCATTCTTCATATCTCTCTTCTCCACCAACATTCTTTTATCTTTAATTTAGTATTTGAATTTTATTTCTTATTCTATTTAAAAATGAGCTCAAATCCTGATTCTGTTCGTGTTGTGTTATATTACAATGGTAGAAAGGTAGAAGGTCGACGAGGTGTCATCTTCGAAGGTGAAAAAAGGCCGACACGTATCCAACGCAACACAACCATTGGCGAACTGCATCAGAGAATTCGACAGAAGTTAAGTCTTCCAGACAACCAATGTATCACTAAGATCACGACAAGGGTGTGGCAAGGTGATAAATACATTAGTTTGAAAGTGCTTGACAATGAAGACTTGGAGATGACAATGGAAGAATTTTGCAACCAGTCAAGGAAAGATTTTCTAGAGTTGTATGTCGACATCGCCGCAACCGAGAATGCTCCCTTACCGGTGAGGTCAGTTTATTTAAATTCTCCCCATCTTCCAGCTTCTCCTGCCGCTCATGCGTCTCCAGTTGGTAACTTTTCTGAGGGAGATGAAAATGATCCGACTTGGGAAATCACGACGAAGATGACGACGACGACGATGAAAATATGGCAATGGAAGAACGTCTTCTGGCGGAGGATGCTAGTGCTTCAGAAGGAGATGAATCCCGTGAGATGGATGCGTCTCAAATCCCAATATTCCATCAACCAGTTGTCGCGCAAATGCCGCAGTTGAATGACGTTGCGTCTGCCCCGTTTGGTATTCACCATGAAGGTAATTGATCCCATTTGTATATAGCTGAATAGATAACTGATTTAATACCTGAATTAGTAAGTTTGTATTAAAAAATTATAATCCGCAATTGCAGGTGACACAAATGTTATTCTTTTTTGGGAAGGAATTCTGTATTATTCCTACATTGATTGGAGTTATCAGAGAGAACAAGAATCATGTACTGATGGTTCGGTCTCTGGATCGGCTTCAATACAAGGTCCGTGGCAACTGGGTGACATGTTATTTGTCAATCAAGAATTTGTGACAAAAAAAGATGTCCAAATGGCACTTAAGCACAACCTCATTAGGGAGCATCAAGAAGGCATTGCAATTGAGAGCACGCCTGCAAAGTTATCCATGAAATGTTATGCGTATGATCAAGGTTGTCCGTGGCGTTTGTAAGTGCGATCAAACCGGTGTTTCGTGAAAATTGGAAGATTACGAGATGGGGTGGAAAACACGAATGTGAGAATGAGCACATTTCCCAGGGTCATAGACAGCTCGATGCGGACGTTATTGCAAATCTCGTCATAGGTACGTATTTATTTACCGTATTGACATGTCAATGTTTACGTACTGCCGTGTAATTAAATTCGTTCGATGTTATCGAGGCACTGATATCCTCTTCAATGCAGGGATGATAAAGTCAGAACCATCTGTGTCAATCTCTTTGGTGCAAGAAAGGATAACTGCTAAATATGGCTTTCAAGTTTCCTACAGAAATGCGTGGTATGCGAAGCAGAAAACGATGGCAATTATGTACGGTGATTGGGAGGAATCGTATGCTTTTTTGCCAAGGTGTGCGAATACATGCTTCGCTTTTCTCCAGGTTCATTTTATCATATACAAATAAATGATCTTTATGCGGAGCAGAGCTTAGTTACTGGAAAAAAGGTTTTTCATCGCATTTTTTGGACGTTTAGACAGTGTTGTGAGGCGTTCAAATTTGCCAAACTCGTCATACAAATTGATGGAACACATTTATATGGGAAGTACAAAGGGAAATTGTTGGTGGCCACAGCCCAAGATGGTAATAATGAATGTTTACCGATCATTTTTGCCATCGTAGAAGGCAAAACTTTGGAAGCATGGGATTATTTTCTCATTAATATTCGTGCTCATGTTACTACCATGTCAAACATATGTTTGATATCCGATCGGCATCGAAGCATAATATCTGTTGTGGAAAATAACCCTAATTGGCAGCCACCAAATGCATATCACGTCTTCTGTATTCGTCATATTGCAAGCAATTTCAATCAAAAGTTTCGGAATGAAGATTTGAAGCGGATGTTAAAGAATTTAGGTATACTCATTGACACGATGCGTAATTATTTCTTTCCATTATGACTGTGAATTTATGTTTAATTCGTTCATGTCCAATTTGTGCAGGTTATACTCCAGCAATGGTTGATTTTGAAAGGAATCTTGCGAGTTTCCGTGAAAGTAGTCCTCAAATTGCTGAGTGGATTGATGCGATTCCTAAGGAAAAGTGGTCGCGCGCCTACGATATTGAAGGACGGAGGTACGGTCATATGACAACAAATTTGGCTGAATCTGTCAATAGGGTTTTGAAGGGGCCCAGAAATATGCCTATAACAGCATTGGTTAAGCATACATATAGTAGATTGGTTGCATATTTTGTTGAGAGAGGAACAAATGTTGTTGCACAACTTCAATCAACTCATCATCACTCCAAAGTTGTTGTTGAATTGGTCAAGAAGAACCAGGTAGATGCAACAGGCCACCACGTTCGTGCATACAATGTTGAACATACTGTCTTCGAGGTTGACGCAGGTTGGGAGCGTTCATATTCTGTCAACCTCCCACAGAGGTTCTGTCAGTGTGGAAAGTTCAAGGCATTTAAGTATCCGTGTAGTCACGCCGTTGCTGCTGCGTTAAGTGTTAGGCAGAGTGCGTTCACTTACGTTGACGACGTCTTTTTGATAACTAACTTGGTCGAGGCTTATTCTTTTCCGTGGGAGCCAATCGGAAACGAGGAAGCAATACCTGAAATTAGTGGACCAAAGATTATTCCTGATTCTACTATGTTGCGTGCAAAAGGTCGTCCAAAGTCAACTCGCATCCGCAACGAGATGGTGAAGTTGAGACAAGCCAGAGCCGTATCAGGTGTGGACTTTGCAAGGAACGCGGCCATAATCGTCGGCGATGTCCAAGTCGTGGGAGAAACGACTGAGATACATATTATGTCATTATTTTGCTATTGGTTATGTTATTGTATGAATTGTAATGTCCGTTATGGCGGAATTTTTGTGTTTCGTTGATGAATGTTTTTATTCTTGTATTATTAAGTAACTGATGCTATTAGTTACCGTAACATAAATGCGCAAAGAACGACAAACAAAAAATAAATAATAAAGCATAGTGAATAGTCCAAATAATATAATAATGTAGCGTCCACAAAATAACAACATGCTACAATCATAACTAGTACAAAATAACAAAATATTAACAATATGAAACAGTCCACAACATAGTGAATACTCCAAATGGCAATGAAACTACGACCACGGTGGCCATGGCCTATGTCGTGCATCCCTATCTGGCAGTATCCGTCTGTCCCAGACTGGGTCTCCCTGAAGCACTTGTGCCTGTGCCTGTGGTGGTGGAGTGTGGAAGTCATCCATCGCCGCACAGATGAAATCATCTGAAAGTATACATTTAGTATATACATTATCAACCATACATTATCGAAATCAAATGAAGTAAATAAATCATACCGGCATCCATAATGTGTGCCCGGCTCTGGATGAGGAGGAAGGGGTGGAGCAATGGGTGGGAATCGTATCCATGCCCAAATTTGAAGGAGAATATGGCAACCACCCATGTCAGTTCGACGGGCATCTGTCAATTCACACAAATTCCTGAACAAGTGTGTCAAAACCGCAGATCCCCAGCTGAATCGGCCAATGTCCTCAAATCCTCCACCTAGCAATGGGACAAGCCGGCAACCAAAATTGCTACCTCCAGACTTGTCCGTCAGCAACCAAGTCCCCAACATCCGGGCAATGTGGGCTTTTGTGAAGTAGATCTCGGCAGCGTGATTCCCCTCATGATCAGTCCATCGGGTATAATGCCGATCCAAGAATGAGATGCGGAGGTCGCCGGAATGATGGAACTCACTGGCCTCTGGAACATGTCCAAAAACAGCAGCACAAGCAGGGTGCCAATCCTCGGAGGTCGATCCGGTGACGACAATGCCGTCAGTCGGCAAGCCCTATATGCCTGCCATATCTTGTAAGGTGATCGTCATCTCACCTTGGGTCATGTGAAAGGTATGTGTCTCTGGTCTCCACCTCTCAATCAGAGCACTAATTAAAAATGTATCGATCTGTGATAAATTACGCAGTTATCACGTGTTAACGAATTTTATTGAATAATTACATAAATACAAAACGACGTAAATAACATACCTGGATATGTTGCATCCTGGCAACATGTATGAATCCCGCCTGTCTTAGGTACTCTTCGACAACCTGTGGAATAGCACCGGTAGGTGGCCCTCCTTGTGGCTTCCCACGCCTGGTCTTAATTTTTCGTACATGCTCTATATTCCACACTCGCTGTGAAATATGAGCTTTTTGCGTCCTCTTTCGAAGGACCTCCCACCTGTACGGCCCAGGTATGATCCACATGCTGGGATCGGTGGGCTCTACATCCGACTCAGATTCCGATGAAGATGATGACTCAGCCATTATCCTCGACTATATAATATAAAACAACATTTGAATTAATCACATGTAACAACCCATTTTATTTACAATTTAATTAAGCAGTGACATAATTGATTATCACAAAAATTAAGCATATGCGTTATTTATTTAACTAGAATCGAAATTTATGAAGTCCCGCCAAAACGTATAACAGTTATTTATTTGCAATTAAATAATAATAGTACATCGGACAAAAATAATATAATACTAACTGAATACTTAACCCTCGGTCACTACCAACTTGTCCAATACATACTAATCATCACACCTAACTAACTACAAAGTTATGCACTCCCGCATTAATAACATCATACATACAAAATTTACGAAGTCCCTAACACTATTTATAAATCACTAATTAATATGCTAAACCCTAATGCATAATTAAAAATTAATAATAATAACTATGTAATAATAAAATTACTATATCATTACAACATTCATAGCATGCCACAAAATTTTTAAGTGACTATCCTAATGTTTCAAGTCTCTAATATACAATCAATCCTAACATGTATTACTAACTAGCACTATTATTTAAATGTATACATATGAGGTATTATGACCTTACCTACGTTAGCAGAGCTTCGCTACGAACCGCGGTTAGAGAGAGGTTAGAGAGGTAAATGAGTAAGGAGTGAAAAAAGGAAAGTGGGGTATATATAGGTTGCACATGAGACGCCCCAATGGGGCGACTTCTCCAGGGGAGAGACGCCTCACTGGGGCGTCTCATTGTGCAACAGATGTGTAATTTTTTACAAAACAGCATTAAATGCATAATTATTTAATTTAAATGTATTATTTTAATTTTTTTGCCGAATAAGAAGTGAGTTAATAAAGAAAAGAGAAAAGGGAAGTTGAAGGGGTGTGTGGGTTTGAACAAGTCCCACATTGGACAACTAGTAGGAAGTGAGAGAGTTCATAAGCTCCCACTTCACTCTCCTAGATTGGCCCTTGGGTCACTACACATTTTGTGGAGGGGGGAAGCTAGGTGACCTTTGGTCCACCGCACGCACGCGCGCCGCCGTCGTCCGGCCGGCTCAGCTCGGATCGGTTCGGTTCGGTTCATATATGTGTAGTAAAAATAATTTTTTATTTTTCAAACGTTGGCAACAGAAAATTTTGTTCTATTTGACAACTCTGAGTCTGGACCGTTTCCTCAAGGAAGATGCCATTGATGCTTGGAAGCATTTTGACTTCCTTTGCCGAAACTATATTCTCAATGCTCTAGACAACACACTGTACAATGTGTATAGTACCCTGAAAACTAGTAAGGAACTATGGGATAGTCTGGACAAGAAGTATAAAACTGAGAATTATTGTGAGTCAAGTTGAGGAACTTCAAGTGATTGTGCATGAAATTCATGCAGAAGGAATGTCTCTTAGTGAGTCTTTCCAAGTTGCTGCTTTCATAGAAAAATTACCGAATTCTTGGAGAGACTTCAAGAATTATCTGAAGCATAAGCGCAAGGAATTGTCACTTGAAAAGATCTGGTTATGAGATTGAGAATAGAAGAAGACAATAAGATGTCTGACAAGAGAAATGGCAACAATCCTATGATCTCCAAGGCTAATGTAGTTGAAAAGGGATCAAAGTCAAAGAAGAGGAAATATTCTGAAGATGGAAATGCTAAGCAAGGAAAGGGAAAAAAGTTCAAAGGAAACTTTTATAATTGTGGGAATCCTGGCCACCGTGCAAGGGATTGTAAGAAGGAACAAAAGAAAGATCAGAGGAAGCCACAAAAGTTCAATAAGAAAAAGAAGAGCCCTCAAGCCAATATGGTTGATATTGCCGATCAGGTTGAAGAACTTAATCTGACAGCAGTGGTGATGGAGTGCAATCTGATGGGAGACTCTAAGGAATGGTGGGTGGACACTGGTGCCACCAGACATGTCTGTTCAAACAAGTGGGTGTTCTCCTCCTATACTCCTACTGATAATGATGAGAAGCTTTATATGGGTAACTCATCTACTTCAAAAGTTGAAGGTGTGGGTAAAGTGGCTTTGAAGATGACATCTGCAAGATAAGGACACTGAATGATGTGCTCCATGTGCCTCATATTCGCAAGAACTTAGTTTCTAGATCTCTGTTAAGCAAGAATGGCTTTAAACTTGTATTTGTTTCTGATAAGTTTGTACTTACTAAGAATGATGTGAATCTAGAAAAAGGCTACTTTAGTGAGGGCCTTTTCAAACTGAATGTGATGACTGTAAACAATTCCAGTAATATTAATAATACTACTACTTCTGTTTACTTGCTTGAGTCTTCTAATTTATGACATAATAGATTAGGACATATTAATTTAAGGTCAATTAAGAATTTAATTCATTTAGATTTACTACCTAAATTTGAATGTTTAAATAACAAGTGTCAAGTATGTGTTGAATCAAAATTTTCGAAATTACCATTTAAATCAGTTGAAAGATCAACCGAGTTGTTAGATTTAGTACATACTGATATATGTGACATGAAATCTACACCATCTAGGGGTAATAAAAAATATTTTATTACATTTATTGATGATTGCAGTAGGTATTGTTATGTGTACTTACTTAATAGTAAAGATGAAGCTATTGTTACTTTTAAGAAATATAAGAGTGAAGTTGAAAATCAACTAAAAAAGAAAATTAAAATGGTGAGGAGCGATCGTGGGGGAGAATATGATGGCCCCTTCGAGGAATTCTGTATAGAGTCTGGTATTATACACCAGACAACAGCTCCATATTCACCACAATCAAATGAGATTGCAGAAAGGAAAAATCAGACTTTGAAAGAAATGATGAATGCTATGTTAATTACGTTCGGATTACCATAAAATTTGTGGGTGGAAGCCATTTTGACGGCTAATTACATTATTAATAGAATGCCTCACAAAAAGACAAACAGCATACCATATGATATATGGAAAGAAAAGAAGCCATCCCTGAAATACTTTAGAGTGTGGAGGTGCATGGCTAAGGTTGCGGTTCCTAAACCTAAAAGGTTGAAAATCGGATCTAAAATCGTGGATTGTGTATTCATCGGTTATGCACTTAAGAGTAGTGCATATTGGTCTCTAGTTTATAAATCTGATGTCTCAGATATATACGTTAATACGGTTATTGAGTCAAGGGAAGTTACTTTCTTTGAAGGCGTATTTTCGTATAATAAAGTACATGAATCAAGTGGTAACAATGATGACCACAGTGTGATACCTCGGGATGCTACAACTAATATTGATCTTGTAGAGGATGTAGAAGATGACCCTAGACGTAGCAAGAGGCAAATGACAGTGTTGGGTGGTTTGCTGATGGTGGAAAATTATAAGTTCTGATAGGGGACGTTCCTCTGTTCTTGCAGAACACAGATTCGTTCCCTTAGTTCCAACCCAAGTGCGCAAGTGCACGCATCAAGTAATAAAGGGAGTATTAATGCCCAAATTATCGTTCCCACGAGGATAGAATCCTAATTATTGTCTTACACTGTTTTATAAAGAATGAAAATGAGAAGAGAAGTTAGTAAATGAACTATAATCAAGAGACAACAGGGTGATGTTTTATAACAGTTAAACAAGGAACGGATTCACTGATTCACTCTTAAATAGTTGTTTTCTCTGCTAAAGACTTAGCACTTCTTGGCTTTGTCCCAGTTTCTTGTCTGCCAACTCTAATTCCTCACCTCATGGACTAGATGGCTCACAAGTTTCCATATTCCTACGGCTCCCTTGACTCCAACAGGTACTTAGTACAGAACCTTAAAATGGACGAGTTGGCCCCTTATTCCTAAGGTGACCAGTAGTGTTTTTGCCATAACACTACCTTCCCCCAATGGCTAAGCTGTCTGAAATCCCTTCCTTATGGAAGTTCCTTTCTCAGTATGTGCCCAATTTTCATTGGTACACAATGAATATAGCTCACTTAGACAAAGAAATACAAAAAGCTTCAGTCAAGACTTTTGAAAACAGTTCTTTAAGAGTTTCACAGATTACCCGTTCCACAGATAGTTCAGCTCATGGCTGATATTTTAAACATAATTATTCCCAACTGAAGTCCCATAGACCCGAGATTCAGTTAAGAGATAACGAATGGAACGAAGAGAAAAACACTTATATTAATTTAGAAGACAGTTTACAGAAGAAACAGAAAATGGAGAAAAATGGGTTATTGCTTGTAAGGAGTCTTAATAGTTGATACAGAGAAGAGAAGAGGGGTTATCATTTAACTATAGTTACAACTTAAAATAAATCTAAGCTACTAACTACTACTACTACTAGGTGATCTCTTCCTTTGGACTTCAAACCCTTCAGGATTTGATGATGTTTTTGTGTGTGGGTCGTCCTATTTATAGATGGAAGATGAATGGCAGTCTTGTAAATCCTTTAGAGGAAGTTGCTGGATGGAACAGGTTTTGGTGATGATTAGTCGTTGTTTCAGTCTGCCCCATGCCTTGCTTTCTTTTTCAGCCAATGAGAATTCTTGATTCTCTGCTCTTCACGTTTCCAGCTGCTCAGTTGGTGCACCGCCTTGCTTTTAGAAGACTTTAACTCCATGTTACCTGCAAAGTGTACAGAGGCATTAAATGAGTGGAGCAGGTGCATTAAATGCGTCTCAGTCCGTTCCCCTTTTAATATATTTTAAAGGAATACGTTACCATACGTTCCTCCACTGTGTTTTTGTCACAAATGTGTAAATCAAGTGATTTTCATGCTGAAGTTGCTCATCAGATGAGGGAACGTGTGGTATTTTGCCATCAAAATGGGCTTAGATGGGAACAAATTTACGTCCCATCAAACACCCCAAAACTAAAATGTTGGTTGTTCTCAAACAACTCAGAAATATTGTATTGGGCTGCCCAATTTCAAAGAATAGCTCAACTGAAAGGAAGTCATTGTATATGACGCTCTATCTGTATTGGATGGGAGCCAATGAGTAATTATAAACTTTTCAACAAATGAGCTACTCTTCATAGTTAAACAGTAAGAGGATTCTTTCCCTAGATAAGT